GTGCGCACTGGTATAACTGGAGATATATATATATATATATATATATATATATATATATATATGGTCTAACTTTACAGTTATCACAAAATTTCCGTCAATTATAATCATGACCATTTTGTCTCTTCCTCCTGCTAGATCGACAGAGAAATTGAGCTGCACAAAGTGCTGCACCATAAACACATTGTGCACTTTTATCACCATTTTGAGGACAAAGAGAACATCTACATCCTGTTGGAATACTGTAGTAGAAAAGTAAGTGTTTGTCACGTAGTAATGTCACTGCTCTTTATCCTTGCCTCTGCTGTCTGCTTATAAATTTGGATAACACCTGCATTGCACCTAAAGTCAACGAGCACATAGGCAGTGTTCCCTACAGTTATATTAGATTTAAAGAAAATTGTCATGTATAATAAGGTTTTCTTCACAGAGAAAAATGTGTTTCCATGGAATTAGAGTTAGAGAACAGCTCTGTAATCATTCTCTTCTCTGTGTTTTTCCTTTTTGCAGTCATTAGCCCATATCCTGAAGGCTCGCAAAGTGCTTACTGAACCAGAGGTGCGTTATTATCTAAGACAGATTGTCTCTGGACTGAGGTACCTGCATGAACAAGAGATTCTCCACAGAGACCTGAAACTTGGTAAGGAAGCCTTATACAGCAGTGACACATTACAGTGCTGAGACACTTTGTGCACGATTATAAAAGATGCATTCTTTTTTTCTTTTTTTTTAACACCAACCAATTTCTTTAATCAATTCATCAGTGGATCCTTGCAGTATTTAGCCTTTGATCTTGGGTTGAATATCAAGTGCTCATCATCTCATTCCCTTTCTTCCCTACAGGTAACTTCTTTGTGAGTGAGTCGATGGAACTGAAGGTCGGGGACTTTGGTCTGGCTGCCAAGTTGGAGCCAGCAGGAAACAGGAGGAAGACGATCTGTGGAACTCCCAACTATCTGTCCCCTGAGGTGCTCAACAAGCAGGGCCACGGCTGTGAATCAGACATATGGGCCCTAGGCTGTGTAATGTGAGTAGGCAAACCGTAAAGTCACTATTAATAATAATAATGTCAATTATTGTTGATTTCTATTGAATAACAGTCTAATACCAAATAATCAAGTTAATAAGACACATTGCCATCATATGTCATGGACTAGTGCAATCCTATAGTTACATGTATGATTTTTATTGATGGAAATGAGCTCACTTTGCCCTCTATCCTGCTCCAGGTACACCATGCTATTGGGCAGGCCACCATTTGAAACCACCAACCTAAAGGAGACATACAGGTGCATTAGAGAGGCGCGCTATTCCCTGCCCTCCTCTCTGTCGCCACAGGCTAAGCAGTTAATCGCCAGCCTGCTAGCAAAGATCCCAGAGGACAGACCCAACCTGGACCACATTCTGAGGCACGACTTCTTCACACAGGTTAGACACCGCCATCTCCTCTCTGTCTGTCTCTTCCCCTCTCTCTAAATGTCACTTTGTAGGAGTATAACAGTGACCCTCTTCCCACCAGCCGCACACTGACCCACTTTTTGTTCTCTGCAGGGCTTCAGTCCAGAGCGTCTGCCGGCTAGCTGTTGCCATTCAGCACCAGATTTCCACGTCTCTAGTCCCGCCAAGAGCTTCTTCAAGAAAGCTGCCGCTGCGCTCTTTGGTGGAAGGAGAGACAAGGTCAAATACTACGAGACGCTGAGTGAGTATGACATCAACCACTAGGCCTCTTATGCAGCACTTAACAGGCTGCTTGTCACACCAGCTAGTTATCCTTTAATTGGTCAACTATGGTTGCTAGAGGCATCATGACATCTTTGAGACGCATGTGTCACATTTTATCCCTTACTACTCTAATGTCACTTCATGTAGCTGCTGGATGTAAAGGTCATGTTCTGATTTTTGTGTGTTGTCATTGCCTTTGATAGATAAGTTAACCAAAGAGGAAGAGGAGATATACAAACTGCAGAATGACCTGGAGAAAACTTTCATCAGCCAACAACAGAGCAAAAAGATTTCTGAGGTAAGAGGTCATTTATTCGACACAAAAACAGCTTCTGTATTATTCATAGAGCCATTTAATAAATTGTTAGATTTGAGATATCATGTCGAGGAGAATCCAATGAGTCACCCTGATGCTGTACTAAACTTTATAACAAGCGTCATTTCAGAACAAACTAAAAGCACTTATTTTTAACCTTTCAAGCCAGCCACTTTGAATCTGTGGGTGACTGCTGAGTCATAGTAGGAAGAGATGATCTAACTTCGCAGATTCTAACCCCTGTCGTCACTGATTCCCACCTCAGAATGGAAGTCTACTTCCGCCTTCTGCTGAGAGCCCAGTTGCCCTGGCAACAGAGAGCCAGTCCCCGACAACGCGAGATCCCATCCGTCTGATCGTCAGGGGGAGTCTGGGGAGCTGCAGCAGCAGCAGCGAATGTAAGTTCACCTAGTACGCACACACAGAGTGATCACAAAGAGACATGGATATGTTTTATGTAATGCTCTGTTTTAGCATGTCACTGTAAATGGAATAAGTGCACTGATGATAGAGAAATTTGATGAGTGCGGAGTAATTTCTTGTACTGTACAGATATGACGTCAAGCCTAATGACCCCCTGTTGTTGTTGTTACTAGGCCTGGAAGACAGCACAACAGGGAGCGTTGCTGAGACTGTTGCAAGTGTTTTAAGGGGATGTCTGGAGAGTATGCCTAAAGGTGAGTCAACTTGTTGACATGATTTTCAAAGTCATGACCAAAACATGTAGTTATTGATTAGATAACTCCACATTGAGAGGTTTCATGATAAGACTAAAATTCCTTATCTGTATTTGACCTTGAAATTTCTAAACAGAGGGATTATTGAAGCACTCAGAAAGTAAATGTAGATTCATGTTTACAAAGATAGACTGCCATATTTTTTTAACACATCCAAATTTCCTTTCAACATATTGTTGCTGCTTATAACCCCACTACGGTTTATTGTTAAGTTAGTTTAACTATTGGGTTCTTTAACAACTTTAAATTAGGTATTTTGGGCGCCCGGATAGCTGAGTTGGTAGAGCTGGCGACCCATGNNNNCCAGGGTTCGAATCCGACCTGCAGCCCTTTGCTGCGTGTCATCCCCTCTCTCAGCCCCCCTTTCCTGTCTGTCTTCAGCTGTCACTATAATGAAGACAATAAAAGCCCCCAAAAATATACAAAAAAAAATTTTTTTTTTTACAATGTTGCACAGTTTAAGCTTGTCTAATCCTCCTCCTTTGTGTTCTTCTCACCCTGCAGCGGACGACATTCCTCAGTGCTCAAACAGCTGCAGTCTTCAATGGGTGACTAAATGGGTGGACTACTCCAACAAGTACGGCTTTGGCTACCAATTGTCTGATCACACCGTGGGAGTTCTCTTCAACAACGGCACTCACATGAGCCTCCTGCCAGACAGAAAGTAAGAACTATTCTGCGCTGTCACAAAACTCCACCTTCAGTTTGAAAGTTGTTAGTCACTACATGTAATGGAGATGGCTTGTTTAAGCATGCTGTGGTACATATAACTGCTTTGAAGAACCTGATAGTGTTTTGAGATGAGCCATGCCAAAGTAAAGAGATGGCTTGACCTGGCTTGATCTTGCTAATGTTCTCATTGACACCTTAAACGTTTTAAAGCAAGAGCAAAACTTTCAGTCAAGAACAGCAACAGATTTTAAATGTCAAGGAAACTTAGGGTTGGTTCTTGTATTTATTTATCTGAGTGATTGTTTATCTGAGTGGTTGCATAATTTTTTGTTTATCTCCTTCTGTCCGTCTCTTTAGGACCATCCATTACTATGCAGAGTTGGGCCAACGCTCTGTCTTCCCCACTTGTGAGGTTCCTGAACACTTTGTGGGCCAGGTGACCGTGCTCAAGTATTTTTCCCACTATATGGAGGAGAATCTCATGGATGTAAGTAAATATTTGTATTCCCCCACTCCCCTATATGATATTTCTGTTGCTTTTATGTGTCTTTTGTCTCTCCACCCCCTGGAGCATTAGAAATGGTATCTTTCATGTTGCTGCCTGTCTAATCCTGATGTGCTACTCTTTTGCTTTCTCAGGGCGGGGACCTGGGTAGTATGACAGATGCACACATGCCCAGACTCTACCTGCTGCAGTGGCTCAAGTCTGACCGCGCCCTCATGATGCTCTTTAACGACGGCACTTTCCAGGTAAACACACACTGTAACAGGAAACGCAGCCGTTGCTGGGCATGCTCAGAGGAGCACTGTTTAGGTGCATAACACAGGGTTAAGATCAGCAGAGGAGGAGGGTTAGGCCACACATCAAATAAGAAAATGGTAACTTGCAATGGTTATTTGCAAATAAACTGACTGAACTTTTTTTTTTATCCCCAAAGATCAACTTTTACCATGACCACACCAAGATCATCCTGTGCTGCCAGAGGGATGAGTACATGCTGACGTACATCAACGAGGACCGCGTCTCCAAAACCTTCAAACTCAGCTCCCTGCTGACGTCTGGCTGCCCCACAGACCTGCGTGAACGCATGGTGTACTCCCTTAACATGCTTCTGCAGAGATGCAGCTAAAGCTACAAAAATGTGTTTTGGACAGAATTAAACAGACTAAATCTACCCATTGTGCTGCTGCAGTACTGCAGTGGAACCAGGATTCAACAGGATCTGTGCGGGAAGGACGAGTTTGAGGGTGGACCTGTGAAAAGTAAATTAACATTCCTACACTGTTGCACCTTCGTGACTCAGCAGAGGTGCAGGTTAAAGAAAATCATACGGACAGACTCTGCGGATGGGGGAATGAAATGTAGCACAATGACAGTGGATGATTAAGGGCTGATTTGTATGTTGATTGTTGGAGGAGAAGAAAGACCGAGCTTGTTGGAACGAGTATGTTGGTACGAATGTGAACCCCAGAGGGGGAAAAAGAGGGATGTTTTGGAAGCGGAAATGCTGGGCTGGTACCAGCTTAAAAGTGTATGGTATAGTTGATGCTGTTTTATAGACAATCCATAAACTGATGCTCTGAGTGTAACCAGAGCACGACTGTGGAACATTGTAAATGATGTACAGTGTATGTCACAGCCAACTCAGCAGTGCAGAGACACCATTTGCTAATATCTGTGGATGCTCCAGAGTTCGGCTGTTTATATGTGCGAGAGTGTGTTTGTGTGTGAGTGAGTGGGAGGGATGTAACATCACACTAACTTTTTAAACTGTGATTTGTTCTCTTTACTGACAGATGGACTCAGCACATTAAGCTGGGAACCAGAGGGGTGATGTAAGGGGGGAGGTGGAGGGGCGCAGGTGAAGAGAATGACATTTAAAAAACAAACAGTACCAGGGGTCCTCTGAGGATCTCTTAAGAGCCATTATCACCTTGGTGGAAAATGTCCTAAATAACTTATTGTGTAAAAAAAAGTGCAGTATTTATTTATTTAATAATAAAGAGCATTTTCTAAAAAACAAAATCTACTCCTGAGTACTTGTCCTTCTCATTGAGTGTTTGTACCCATTTTTATTTTCCAAAACAGTGTTGTCTCTCTCTTCCCAATGTTATTAGATGTTTAATGCTACTACATTTTCTGAGTTTTTCCCTCACAATATATTCCTGGTTTTAGGTTTTATATGTAAAAGGCTTTTATTCCTTTTAATTAACCTGAAAATGAACTGTGATGTTTCATATGCAATAAGCAGTTTCTGAGTTCATGCACTTTACAGTGTGGTGAGAATTAGATTAAACTTAATTACACTCATATCTGTGCATTGGTCCAAGTCAAAGCAAGTATTTTATCTTGTGTTTGCAACAGGAAATGGGCACACAGAGAGAGATGGATACATGATAGAGGGCATGTTTACAGTGAAGTTGTTTATTCTCTGGTTTAAAGCCCCCCTCTCCTTTGCTAAATTTTCTCCTGCAGTGATAAATGAAGTATGACAGAGACGACTCACTGTGCAATGTGGCTGACCTTGTCTCACGCAGGCACATGGCTACTTCACATACAAACAAGGGCATTGATTAACAGATAGGCCAGCTGGGTGGTTCGAAAGGAAAGACAGCCAAACAGTGACATGTAGCTAGAAGGAGAGACAGACTAATAAAATGACAGACTTGGTCACACTGTGTCAGCGATTGCATCAGAGCTTTTGAGGCAAAGTGACTACAATGATTCTTGGACATCCTTTCACATTCACTGACTGTAACCATGGAAACAAGCAACTGCTGACCAATTTTGTCATAGTCGGAAATCAATGAAAGGCTGCGTAAAAGACGTCTGCTTCTGAAAGTCAGAACTCATGTCCTGAAAAATGATAACTCATGTATTTTGCTACTGATTGGCTTTTATCTGCTGCACTCTCTGTTCTCCACATGAGTATTTCATCCGGCTGTCTGTTGAACACCTCTTCACCTTCCAAGCTTACGTAATGATGGAAGTTTAACATGGATGTTTGAGTCATCCCTTTAGATGTTCACTCAGAATATCTGTGCTCTTCTGAGTTCAATTATGAATGCCTCATGCATAAACATACCCACACAGACAGAAGCAGAACAGGAAGTAGCCTACAAGAAAGAAGGAGCAGGAATTATTCATGACGACACCTCCAGGTCTGAGAGCATGTGTTTTGACAGTAATGGCCTCTAGAATGGATCTCTCAGTCAGACAGAAATAGATTTCATTGTTGATGTAGAGTTTTCTGGCCTTTGAGCGCATTTTTACCCCTGGTCCTAACATCGGAACAGAAGTGAAGCGTCTCCATCAGATGGATGCAGTGGGTTGAACCAAATTCTCTGAGGTTACACAAGTTAAAACATTTCCTAGTCCAATATAGACTCAGCTCCTATAATGATTGATGTAAGCGAAAATTCAGATCTCGTCTGTGAGTCAGCAAATGTCAGGATGATCATCTTTATTGGCCTCATGGGAACTTTCTACAAGTCTGTGAGAAAAGGACGTAGAGGAACTAATGAGAAAACCCTGCAGAGTTAAAAAAGCTAAGAGTGCAAGTTCACTTGATGTTCTTAGTGTCACTGTCGTGAAAAAAATATGTTTATGACACTGCTAGTTTCACCCGCACAAAGCTGCTCCTCTGTTATGCCACGTTGACAGTAGGGAAAAGTCTTGTGCGTGTGGACAGGGCTTAGCTCTGGAATGAGTCTAAGCCAAAGTGACAACGGGAATCTTTATACCTCGGCTTCTATCATAAAGTTCTCTGCAGGCAAAAGAGTGAGTCAGTTTGGCATTAAAAGTGATAGTAGGCACATTCTAGCAGAAAAAAACAGGCTTTGATATGTGCACACTGGGATGCACTTGGGGGATTAGAAGGCCTTTGCATATCAAATGTCAGCACTCCTCCTCCTACTATGTGGACAAAAACAGATGTACTGTAGAGGAAGCTGGAATGACTGTAGCCTACGGTATCGACTATGGAGATGAGCAATGCACAGCAGCCAAACTTATAAAGTTGCCAACTTAGTCAAATACTGTACTCTTACCAAGAAGAAAAGGTAACTCCTGACTTTGTTCAAGCATGTGCAAAGAGGGTGTGTGTGTGTTTGCTTCTCAACGTATTTGATTTCCTTCCAGGTGTTCAAATACGTCTAATGCTGAGAATGAGTCACTGTGTAAGATGCAGCGGCCACTTATGCTCAGTAGTGTGTCGTTCATGCTACCTCATCTGATTCCTGTAATTTTCTGAAAATAGAACCTTTTGGATTGCTACTATAGCTTTTGTTTTATTCATGGGTCAACGTGTACTGGCAAGTCTGTGTCTGTGTCCAGCTCAGCAGCAAAGAGTAAAGGACGAATAAAGACCGCAGAGGACTTTAAAGGGAAATTTCATAGCTTTTGTTAACCACTACCTGTGTTTTGTCCATTTAAGATATTATAGACGGGTGACAAATTAGAGGAACATGAAGAAATGATAAATTAAACATGATAAATGGTTTGATGAAAATGAAAATGATATGGATCAACTGAACACCTATGGGGGACATACAGATCCAGAGACTAGGAGGTTTGTGTTGGTTTTTCTTTTAAATTGTCTCCCATCTATAGATTGTAGCATATGGAGCCTTGCAGTATTCCAGACAAGCACTCAAGTCATGTTTTCAGTAACATCCAGTCATCCACCAACAGGACTGTAGTTCACTGAACGGCCACTGTTGTCACAACGGTTTTCTGAGCACTACATATAGAAGCTTTATCACCAGGCGATCCATGAACATTATTCTATCTGTATACAGCAATGCTGAGCTACAGTTTATCACCCTCTACCTCTCCAGTTTCTACCCAGATGAGCATTTACATTTATGCAAATGTTTGGAATTTTGAGTGCTTCTTTTAGTATGTGTTCATGCCCTTTAAGCGTATATATTTCAGGCTCTGTCAGGGTGTTTGTGAACTTGGGAATAGGGTTAGGGTTAGGGTTAAAACTCAAAACGAGGCTCCTGGTTGAAATACCCATCTGCTATTTATATATTCAATTTGCATCCAATTATTACTTAAATTTTAAGGTTTTCTTTATTCGGAAATTCATTTCATGTGTCAAAGTAACTCAACTTTATAGATAAACTACTGCATACAGCCTACGTCACAATGCCGTTGGATAGTCATAAAAAGCTGTCTTGTGCAGTGGAGGAGCATCACAGTCTGATCATTATAACTGAGGGATTTATTTTTTTTGTTCAGTTTCTGCGCCAGAACCGGAGGAGCCGTGATGTCAGTAGAGAATGTGACTTCCTCGAAACAGGGCAACTAATGACCTGCTGACTTCTTTAATAAAAACATCACATGTTTGTGTGTGGGCAGCCTTCTGACAAAGACTAAAGAGAAGAGACTGAGAAAAACTCTGCAGGAACTTCCGCAGCTATGAAAAATCCAACACACTGGAGCTTTATTGGGCCATTACGCATGAGTAGAAAACCATTATACAACACAGTGGCTACACTATTACTAAAATGTAAAGTTCCATATTTTCAAATACTATGCTATATATACTGTTCAAAATTCAATGATTGTGTTTCAAACTCACAAACCTAATGCAGTTCCTCAATGTGAAAACCCATTCCCTCTGTTAATAAAGGGCTCTCAGTCAGTCCAGTCTCTCAGTGATATAATAATTCAAGATAAATAACATTAATAGTTTAGTCCATAAAGCCGTAGTTCAGTAGAACAGAAACAACAGCAAAACCCGTCTCTTTTAGCTTTTTGGCTGCGGTTCCTGTGAGAACCAAAGCTTGTCCAAAAGTCCTGCAGCATCAACCTCCCCATCCTGTCATAATAGCATAGTAGTTTTACAGATGATCTTTGAAATGCACTGGGTTGGGAGATAATTACTGTTTAAGCTCCTCTTTGGGATAGCTGCAACAAAGTAGAAATTGCATTCCATCCATGCCAGCAAATGAGAGGGTGCATTTCTCATGCTCAAATTCCTCTTTGCAAAGTTCCAACTTGTCTGAGAGTTTGTTGCTTATCAAATTAGTCAGGTTTTATTTTTTTTAACTATCATTTGACACTGCAATTTTAAAGATTGACTTTAGTGTTGTTGTTTTGCTTTTCAAAAGCTGCTATAAAATGTAGTAGTTAGTTTTATAGTAGTTATATAGCAAACAGCTTGATATTACGTATATGTAACTGTAGCATCAGGAATCATTTAATTAAATAAATGTTGACTATATCAAATAAAACTCGATATACAAAGTTAATGCTCAAGCTGTCAGCAGAGAAAAATGTGTGGTCTTCCTCCCATCATTCCATTACACAAGGCACGTGGTTCAAAGGCTATTTAAGCTGAGCAGTGCTTGTATCAATGGATGTGGAAGGCAAGGCATTTAGCAAAGATCTGTGAAGTGTGGCAAGTGTTTAAATACAGCCCTGCCTTGTGGAGGGAGGAAACTCCAGAGGCTTCAAAGCAGCGTTGCAATCCTGTGACTCACAGGAGAGATAGAAGGACAAAGCAAATCCTACACACCAAACACACACACACGCACAAACACACACACCATCTCCCCTTGCACTTAGGTGGGGCTGTGTTGCTCAACAAGTTAACAGTTGAATATCAATGTTCCTCTCTGGGTTCATGATAGAGCTTTACACTTTATTCTAGATACAGAAGTGTTTATGTAACAATACAATATATAAATCTTGTATTTTCATATAAATATGTGTCATTGCTAACAGTTGCAAGGTTATGGCTTTATTCAGTGTTATAGCTTCCACAATGTCATGACTTGCCCACAAACCGCAGTGCCAATAAAACTCCAAACTACATATTATGTGTGTGTTTATTACAATTAATCACTTGTTTAATCTTCATCCTCATAGAGTTTAAAACGTGTGGTCTACTGACACACTTTAAAGTTTGTTCAGAGATTGAAACGTAAAGGTCTGTGATATAACCGATACACCTTTGGCATTTCTCTGAGCCCACAGTAACAAGCCTTCGTCCAGTAAATGCCAAAGGTAACGTT